AATTGTTTGCCCATTTGGCATTAATCAACTTTTTTATAAGACATTCAACGAGGCGGTATTGTTTGAGTTCATATTTATCTAAAACTGGAATAAAGCTAACAGCGCTGTTTCGGCGTAATGCCATCTTCAGAGCCTAAATATTGTTTAAACATATAATTTAATTAAAATAAATGTCTAATGTAAAATGTGAAAATATAGAAAATAAAATATGTATTAAATTGTGAAATAAATTAACCTTGTTGTAAATATCATAATAACTAAAGTTTATGTAGATTATATAAATAAAATAATGTAATTTAAATAAAATGTTTTATGATAGCAATTTATTGGCAAAGGCTGTTAACAAACTTCTGGAGCCATATGTTCCCCGCACCTACTCAGTCAAATCAAGTTTTGAATTTATTGATATCATTAATGATAACAAACGGTGCGTTGGACATATGGCTTCGTTGGATGTTGAAAGTTTATTTACCAACGTTCCAATCGACTATACCATACAAATCATCTCTAATTACATCTACAATCACCCAACACTTCCACAACTTGACATTCCTCCCATCCTGCTCATCGAACTTCTGAAACTATGTACTGTTGAAACTCCGTTTGTTGCTCCAGACGGTTCTCTCCATTTGCAAATTGATAGTGTTGCAATGGGATCTCCGTTGGGACCGCTGTTCTCAGAATTCTATATGGCCGATCTCGAATCAAGGATATTTGCTGACCCTACCAACAGACCCCCAATATATGCACGCTACGTCGATGACATTTTCATCATTTGCAAAAAGGTCACCGATGTTTACAACTTACAGAATATATTTCAGAACAACTCCCATCTCAAATTCACCATCGAATTTAGCACCGAAAAACAATTGGCCTTTCTCGATTGCTTAATTGAAGAAAAAGAAGAACAGCTAACTTCGAGGGTTTATGTTAAACCGACTAATTCTGGTTAGGTCTTAAATAATCATTCGGATTGCCCCGACCGCTATAAAAACAACGTCATCTATAACTTCATTCATCGGGCATACAAAATCTCTTTCGATATCAATATTTTCAATACAGAACTGATTCGCATAAAACAGTTTCTCATCAACAACAACTATTCCAACCAATTAATAGATAATACCATAAAACATTATATCAACAAAACAAATAATCCTACAACTCCAACCTCTACAAAAACAATTATACCTCTATATTATCTCAATCAAATGCATGACAACTACAAAGTTGATGAATCAATGCTCAAACGTATCATCAAATCCAATGTCTCCGTTCCCAACGAAAGCTACCGACTGAAGTTCATAATTTATTACAACACCAACCGAACATCCAGCTTTATCGTTAAAAATAACAACACACGTCCCTCCAACAAACTAGAGAGAACCAATCTCGTATACCGATTTTCTTGTCCCGTGCCACACTGTGTTGTGGAGAGTTATATCGGCCATACGAGAACTACTCTTTCTAGAAGACTCACCATGCATACACAGAATGGTGCCATTAAGGACCATATGGAACAGGTACATCATCAACCGCTTACGAGGAACATATTGGATCCCAACACAACGGTCCTTGATTATGAACCCGATCCAGTTCGCCTCAAAATTAAAGAAGCCCTTCATATCAACAAGCATAAACCCTCACTCAATAAACAATATAACAGCTTTGATCACATTTTGCAATTGTTTTCTCAATATCACGATCTCACACCTACTGTAGCCATTGGGGTTAATCCACAGGATCTGCGTGTACCACAACGATATGAATATCATTCTACGTTGAATACATTTCAACCCATTAACACGCAGTTTGTGACCCAGCGTCATCCGACAACTGTCACTGCGTCGTTGGATATATTATGTGATACTTAATATTTGATCTATACATCGACATGTATCTTGCATGTACATATATGTATTTATATTTAACTATGTATACGTAGGTCTGATGTGGAAACTCGTATCACACATATTCAACCGCAATAGTTGTATTCACAACGCATACACAGCAATATTATATATTTTGCGCACATGTCATTCGTAATTAGTTTTCACCAACGTTTGTTCAACCATGTTAAAACTTTTATAAAATTTCTATATTTTAATTATTTTACTAAACATTTTATTTAAATTACATTATTTTATTTATATAATCTACATAAACTTTAGTTATTATGATATTTACAACAAGGTTAATTTATTTCACAATTTAATACATATTTTATTTTCTATATTTTCACATTTTACATTAGACATTTATTTTAATTAAATTATATGTTTAAACAATATTTAGGCTCTGAAGAAGGCATTACGCCGAAACAGCGCTGTTAGCTTTATTCCAGTTTTAGATAAATATGAACTCAAACAATACCGCCTCGTTGAATGTCTTATAAAGAAGTTAATTAATGCAAAATGGGCAAACAATTTCAATGAAATTTGCATTTCTGAAAACCTCGTTCCTAAATATATATATATATATATATATATATATATATATATATATACAATATTCTATAAATTCTACCGAATGTTTGGCGTTAATATGTTTGTAGTTCGTTTTTTCAATTTTTCTCACTAAAGTTTTTGGTGAACGTTTGGTGAACGTTTAGTTTATTATTAAAATTCAAAATAAACTTATTTTTTGAATTCATACTGAAAATAAGGCCATATTTCAATTCCGAATGAATCATCATCAGTGCTTTCTGCTGTTTATATAGGGAAATATTGACTTTGTCAAAATGAATTTAGATGGAGATTGACTTTGTCAAAGTGAATTTTGGAAACTAGGTGTCAGGTTTCTTTATTGTCTGGTCATCTTCTTTGGTCTCCTTTTCTTCATCGATAGCATCATATTCTTCTTTGTCACTATTTACAATGCTAGTTTTTATTACTTCTTTGTTTTCGTTGTTGGTTAAGCGCTGGGTTGGAAGTGAGGTTGTCATTTTTTTTTGTATATTTATTTTTGGTTTATTGACGTCAATTAGGACTGCTTCTGCAATTTTAAGATGCGTGTAGTTGCTGTTCTGGTATATTACTTTGGTGTTGCTGTCGAGGATTTCACGGCTAATAGTAATTGAGTGTATTGAGTCCAAATGAGATTTGATAGCACCACTCTGTTTATGCATCGTAAGCCTTCTAGTCAATGAGGTAGTAGTAAACCCGATATATGAGTCATGTTGACGTGCACAGCCGTCAAAGTGGCAATTAAATTCATATATTACGTGATTACGCCTTAGCACAGAGTTATCTCTAGGACTACAGTTGTTTTTCAGTATTAGGTGAGACGTCTTTTTATTGTTGTAATATATTCGGAGTTTAACTTTATTATTTGGGTTGGTTGGTGTGACATTTTTATTGATGATGTGTTTAAGAATAGCTTTATCTACTTTGTATGCAGTTAACATGTGATTTCTGTAATACAAGATGATGTCGTTATCTTGATTGTTGGTATTAGGAAGGTTATTGTTGTGTAGTAATTTGCCTTTAACAATCTTTTCAATAGAATAAGTCTTATATCTATTGTTTACAAGCAGGTTAGTGACTCTTTTTAATTCGGTGTCGCGATTTTCAATATCGGAAGAGTGTGTGAATGCCCGGTTTACAAATGATTTTATTGTGCTGTCTTTAAATTGTTTGGTACATTCACTTTGTCCATTCAAACAAATTCTTGTATTTGTTTCTTTGACATAGACCGCAGCCTTGAATCGTTCTTCGCCACGGGTGACCAACACATCAAGGAAAGGTAAACGTTGTTCTTTTTCAATTTCAATGGTAAATCTTAGTTTTGACTTGTTTAAGGTACCAAGAAGTTGGGTGATTTGTTCAGGACCGTTATAGGAGACAAAGATATCATCAACGTATCTAGCGTAGATATTTGGTTTTAAATTTGCATTGTTTTTGAAGGTCTCATTCTCCAGATGTCCTAAGTAAAAACTGGCAAATAGGACGCCAAGTGGGGAACCCATAGCGACACCATCGATTTGCTTGTAAAGTTTGCCTGTGGGGCTGTGGAATGGTGCTTCGGTAGTGCAAATTTGAAGAAGGGACATCAGTTGTGCTTTCGGTTTGCTCAATGGAACCATATCTGAGTGGTAAACGGTGTTGATAATTATGTCAATTGTATCATGAATTGGTACATTTGTGGATAATGATTCATCATCCAAAGAGGCAATAAATTTGGATGGTATATTAATGCTGAGGAGATTAATAAACTCACGGGAAGATTGTAGTGTGTAATTGTTTGGAATATATGGGGTTAGAATTTTGTTCAAGAATTTTGCAACAGGGTATGTGACGGTTGTAATTTGGCTAATAATTGGTCGGATGGGATGATTATTCTTATGCGTTTTTATATTCCCATATAAGTAGCCAGGAGAGTATTCGCCTATAAGTGATGGAAGTTTGTCGTCAGTGATGTGCTTTTTTATTTCTTAATTATTGTGTTTAGTTTAGTTTTTAGCTGAGGAGTGGGATCTTTTTTGATTACTTGGAACTTTTTTGTATCTTTGAGAACATCATTGAGTTTTTCATGATAATCGGTTCGGCCAATAATGACATATTGTGCAGATTTATCTGCGCGTCGTATTACGATATCTTTATTTTTCCTTAATTGTTTCGCCGCATCTTTCATCTCGTCAGTGAGTAGCTTGCTTTGAAAACTACCGCGTTGTTTCTTAGCTTCAGCTTGAAGCTAAGAAACAATAGACATCATTAACTATAGACATAGACATATAGCTATAGACATCATTAACTTTTCAATCTCAATGATTTTCTCAATTTTGTTGGGTTTTTTAGATAGTGGCAGTTTAAACCCAAGTTTAAGAACGCTTTTTGCTTGTCTGTAAGTATGTGGTGGTTAAGATTGATGAATCTATCTTTCATAATATTGTTATTTCCTTTGATTATCAGGTTGGTCAGTTTTTTATGAAGTTTTAGTTTTGATGATTGTTTATATGCATTTATAAATTCTTTCCGGCATAAGTTTAGTTCATTCTTGACACTGCAGTCAACATCACAGTGATCCCATTAATTCAACAGTTCAGTTAGTTGATTGGACAAATCTAGAACTACCTTCCTTTTAACTTCTAATTCTCGAGAGAGATGGAGCAGTCGCTGCTCGCGATCTTGTTCGATTGTTAGATTGCATCGGTTGGTCGCAGAACTTCGAGTAAATGTTGGTAATAGACCATAATTTTTACAATATTCTATAAATTCTACCGAATGTTTGGCGTTCATATGTTACGTTAACAACCACCAACCCTGATTGATGTCAGGTTTTTAACTTATTGATTGAGTGAAATGAGCCTAATATAATGACATCTGTTTTATTTGAGTTGAAGTGAAGATTATTAAGAAGAAACCACCTCTCCATGGCAGCGATGCCCGTAGTGATGGTATTCACAGTTGGTAAATAATTATTGATATCCAATTAAATGAAAAGTTGTGTATCATCAGCATATTGATGGTAGCATACTTTGTACCTATTGATGATCTTATGAATCGGAGAAATATATGACGTAAAAAGTAAAAGACCCAAGACCAAACCCTGGGATACATCATGTTGTAGTTGAATTGTAGGTGACACATATTCTGATATTTTGACAAATTGTTAGCGGCCAGACAAAAATCCTCGTTTAAAAGTTTTAATAATATCTCATGACTAATAGTATCAAAAACCGCCGACAAGTCTAGCCCTGCAAGGGTTGTTACTTGTTTACTGTTGAGTGACCTTCACGGTAAGCTGACTGGAAAAGTGCGAAATTTGGATGTTGAGAAATGTATGGCTGTAACCTTTTTAATGCTGCCCGTTCAATAATTTTGGAAATGGTAGATAGATTTGATATCGGTCTGTAGTTGGATGGATCAGATCTATCAAAATTCTTTTCTTTTTTGAGTAGAGAAACCTGTGCAGTTTTAAAGCTGTCAGGAAACTAGCTATGAAATGAGAGATTCGTTAAGATGAAAATGGCCGTAGATAGAATATTGATGCAATTTGTTATCAATTGATGTGAAAAATGATCCACTAGTGATGTTTTATTGCTTGAGGATTTGATGATGCTTTGGATCTCATCAGGTGTGATATCAAAAAACCCGAAGCGGTTACAGGCGGAGGCAATAACATTATCCAAATCAGCATCACCTGATGAAACCAATGTTTTGTGCAATGTTTTTATGAATATTATTGATCTTGTTGATAAAATAATCATTGAAGTTATTGACCAATGATGCAGTTTCAGAACTATTGAGGCAAGGTTAGTTGTTATTCCTGTTTAAAAGTTTATTGAGGTTGCGCCAAGTGCCACGCAAGTTGATCGATTTATCATGTGATCTTGGGAAAATTCTTCCGTTAATAAATATTTTTGATCCTCCAAACAATTTTCAGCAATTTTTATAATTGAGTTACTATTGGTCACGTAACCTGCGAAACATGTTTGTTTAAAAAAAAAGAAGATTGCGAAAATATCAAATATTATAAAAATTGCTACGACCCCCTTTCACATGATAATATGTAACGATAATATAGAGTTTCACATTTATGTTATATTATATATATATGTATTTTTTACTTTTTTCATGTAGCTCTTTATTTCAATCTTAATTTGCAACACAATATATTTCCGGCTTTCCACAGAGTTTTACTCCTGCTACATGTATCTATTCTCATCCGCATCAAATCTCGTAGATCCAATGTTTATTTTATTTTCTACGATTGTCTTGTTTTTGGTAAGTAAATTATTTATTTTACTTTTTACTAGATCATTCGTTTTATAAATTAATTAATTGTTTTTTTTTGTACGAGTAAGTGGCGAAACCGGGCGTAACCCAAGTCAGGGCAATCCTTGAGTCTCAGACCTACTACGTTTTAAAATTTGTTTACATTTACGATTGTTTACATCACTATCTCCAATGGGTGAATAGAGAGTTACAAAAGCGCTTCCCACTAATATGCAAAAAGTTGATTGAGATTAAATTAGAAGAATTTTAAAACGTTTATTTCGTATTTAAATATGTTAACAATAGTAATATATTGAGTTATTAATAAATAGTAAAAAACCAATAAAATAGGTTAGGGTTAGGTTACGTTTGTATAATATATATATATATATTTTATTTTAGTAGGAGGAGCTTGTTTTACTCTATTGGAGATAGTGAATGTAAACAAACAAGGTAGGTCTGAAACTCAAGTTTTGCCCAAGTCAGTTTTTAGCAATTTTAACTGCGCAAACCAAACTTATCCACTACCAATTAACCATTCTAACACCAGTTCTTGCTTTTCTCTTGTTGGTTTCAAAGCAAATGATATGGATTTAAAATGTTTTGAAGGCATGCCTAAACAGGTCAGTGTTGCTCCTTTTGGTTGGTCTCTTAATTTAAAAGCCTAAGGAAAATAAGCTTTGAACATGGCAATGATGAAGATTCCGTTGCTAGTTCTTGTGACTGTTGAGTGGTTGGCAATGCATCAGGAATTTCACCAAAAAGAACTTCATCACCTGCAGAAATTAAATTCAAAAATGTGTTTAAGTAAATACTGGTACAATTTTAAACATAGTACATGGTAGAATAACATGTTTTAGCAAATTATTAAATCATGGATGTTCACAAATAACATTTATAAAATGGTTAAAAAATACCTATGTGTGGTTCATCAGTGTCAAATCTTTGTGGCAAGGCCTCAAAAGAAAAATCTTCATAATCTGCAGAATTAAGTGCATTGATTAAGATAATATCGTATTATCATATATTATCATATGGTATTAATGTTAAATAAAACCTTGTGTACTTTGTCTGCATCAATTTGCTATGAAGGCAATGGTGAAGGTAAGGTTTCAATATTGTCACCTAAAAAGACATAACAATTGGTAAAAACAAAAAATAATATTAAAGGTAATTAACATGCAAAAAAACAATACCTTGATTACCCTTGAGTACTTAAACACGTCCAGTTTCAATTCTTTGTTTAAATAAAAGCAATGATGATGGCAAGGTCTCAAAACGTCACTTTAGGAACCTTTTTTATCTTTAAAAATATGAGTAAAATTATCAAAACATTGGGCTAATTATCTTTATAAACATTTTAAATGTAAAAAATACCCTGAAGATTATCAAGTGGTACATTATCAAAGTAGACAACTTCTACTTCATGACCATCCTTCTATGCCTTGACAATTTCTTCTAGCTATTTGGTACGCTTCTGGAAGAGACTGTGACCTGACGACTTTCCATTGCCGGTGTTTCCGTTGATATTCGGAATTTTCGGTTTCGGAGTTTTCGGTCCCAAATTTCACTATATAGAAATTTTCGATCTCGAAATTTTTGTTCTCGGAGATTTTGGTCCCGAATTTTACTATATAGCAATTTTCTGTCCTGGAGTTTTCGGTCCTAAATTTCATTATATTGGAATTTTCGGTTCCAGAGTTTTTGGTCCCTATTTATTCATTCAATTCATTCAATGATCCTCTGTAATCCCTTAAGGGACCGTTGAGGCCGATGGTATTCTTCTATCTCTCCAAAATCCTTTTCTTTCCCTCGCCATCTTCATTGAGCCCAATGTTCCAACCCCCGTCCATTCCGTGATATCATCCATCCACTTCCTCACAGGTCTTCCAACTTTTTTCTTCCAGTCCCTCTTTCTCATCAGTACTTTTTTGATCAGTCTGTCGTCTGTCATTCTGCAGATGTGCCCAAAGATACCCATATTAAAAATCGCGACGCTGAATTAAAGAGTCACTAACCTGCTTGTAAACAACGGATATAAGACTTATTCTATTGAAAAGATTGTTAAAGCAAAATTACTACACAACAATAACCTTCCTAGTACCAACAACCAAGATAACGACATCATATTGTATTACAGAAATCACATGTCAACTGCATACAAAGTAGATGAAGCTATTCTTAAACATATCATCAATAAAAATGTCACACAAACCAACCCAAATAGTAAAGTTAAACTTCGAATTTATTACAACAATAAAAAGACGTCTCACCTAATACTGAAAAACAACTGTAGTCCTAGAGATAACTGTGTTAAAGCTTAATCACGTAATATATGAATTTAATTGCCACTTTGTCGGCTGTGCACGTCAACATGACTTATATATCGTGATAACTACTACCTCACTGACTAGAAGGCTTACGATGTATAAACAGAGTGGTGCTATCAAATCTCATTTGGACTCAACACACTCAATTACTATTAGCCGTGAAATCCTCGACAGCAACACCAAAGTAATATACCAGAACAGCAACTACACGCATCTTTATATTGCATAAGCAGTCCTAATTAACATCAATAAACCAAAAATAAATATACAACAAAAAATGACAACCTTACTCCAAACCCGGCGCTTAATCAACAATGAAAACAAAGAATATGATGCTATCGATGAAGAAAAGGAAACTAACGAAGTTGGGCCTGCCAATAAAGAAACCTGACACCTAATTTCCATCTAAGTTCACTTTGACAAAGTGAATATTTCTCTATATAAACTAAATCGCACTGATGATGATTCATTCGGAATCGAAATATGGCCTTATTTGCAGCATGAATTCGGAAAATAAGTTTATTTTGAATTTTAATAAACTAAACGTTCACCAAAATCTTTTGTGAGAAAAATCGAAAAAACGAACTACAAACATATTAACGCCAAACATTCAGTAGAATTTATTGAATATTGTAAAAATATATATATATAAAATAAATTTATATATATATATATTTATATTTATATATTATATATATATTAAATTATTAATGTAAACAATTAAACAACAAATTATTAAATTCATTTCTCTATCAAAAATTATATATATTGAATGGAATTTTTTGAATTTAATTTTATTTGGCCAAAGCACAGGAGATCATGATATGTGCTGATCACCTTAACTAAAATTGAAAATTGTGCAACTTGATTTTAAGTTAATTGAACACAAATGAAACTCAAATACATATATATAAACTAAAAAAATGACTGATATATTCCACAAATTCAATACATACACATACATAAAAAAAAAACACTCAATTAAACATACACACATGCATACACCCACATAAATGCATATATATATATAAATTAAAATCAAATACTAAATATGAATATATTTATATATATATATATATATATATATATATATATATGAATATGAAGATATGTATATATATATATATATATATATATATATATATATATATATATTCAACAGTGGAAAGCAAATAGCTCAGCCAAGCGTGAAATGATTTTTGAAAAGAGTTGATTAAGTGAAGATTTAAAAATATCAAGAGACGGAGAGTTTTTAACATTAATAGGTAAAGTATCCCAGAGGCGCATTGACGAAGATAAAGTTGAATTGAGAAAAAAGTTTGACCTAGGTTTAAGAAAGCGAAAATCAGGAGTAAAACGTAAATAGTCACGACCAGTATATTTAAACAAAGCGAATTCATTGTAAAGAGACCGACAATAGTTTAGTTTATATATTTTGAAAAAAAAAGATAAGTGATATGCAATTGATTAATGTTAAGAATATTTGCTAAACGATAATAAGGAGTAACATGGTCAAATTTATGAAGTTTAAAAAGAATTCGAAGAAAGAAATTCTGAGATAAGGTCAAAATATGAAGATCTTAATTCGTTCGTGTTGACCTTCCCTCTTTTTTCCTTGTCCAGTGACTTGAACATCTCTCTCAACTCTCTCTCGTCTTCATCATCTCTCATTTTCTTCAGGACGATGCTACAGAATTCTTCAAATTGGATGTAGCCGGTTCCTTGGATGGTTTGTAAGCAAAATTAATTTTAGATTTTGGAGCTAAACTCCAAACAGAAATGCAATAAGTCAAGTAAGGTAAAACGAAGGA